ATTGAATAAAGTGTCCTAAGAGAAACTATGCTAGTCGAATCAATTATAGTTTAACTTTAATGAATAAATAATAGAACCCAAGGTAGATTTAAATAAGTTGTATATGTTAATTTTTTTTTGTGAACAAATGACAACTTAAGCTTTAACCATAATTTTATCTACTGCCTTCTTCTTTGAAGAGAGCTATCATTCCTGTCGGTGGCAATGTACATAACGCTTTCCATCTCTTATCCACGTTAATTTGGTCATGTCGTCTGCTATCCGATTCTTTTCTCGAAAAATATGTTTGATCTTGACCTCTTAATTTCGTTGCAATAAACCACAAATAAGTTGATGTACTATGGACTCTACGTTTCTATTATGCGAATGTACATACTTTAATGTATTGAGTTCAAGTCATTGTGTATGCATAAATCCCTATTGAAAGACTCACCCATCAAAACTAAGTGTGAGATGCAGGTCGATATAGATTAATAAAAAAGAAACCTTGAAACTGAGAGAATAAAAAAAAATAATCTAGTTAGTTTTTAGGCAAATCCTTCTATCTCATCTCAAACTCATGATCTAACTTATCTCTTTTAGTTATAATCACCTTTAAACATCAATTTAAGATTACTGAAAACCGTTCTAAACATAAACTAACTTGATTTTCACATTTCTAAAAAGTTTTGTTTTGTTAAAACAAAGTTAGAAAACTTCCAATCTGACCAAAATGAAGTGAAAATCAATCACAAACAGAAGATTAAAGCAAAAATCTGTATTTCATCATTAAAATGTGAAAACTTAAGTTTTTTTTAGAAATTTTGTTATTTAATATTAAATATTGCTTTATAAAATTAACTCGTAAAAGATAGAATAAAGTATACAGGTGGCCTCCTGACTATAGGGCGACTATTAAAAGTTACAAAATAGTCCCCCAACTATAAGACATTGATTTGTTGAATATCTTGACTATTAAAAGTTACAAAATAGTCATATAATTATTCATATGTTTTAAACTTGTACTTTTCTGCTAAAAAATTGACAACAATTTGAGATGGACATTAACTTGTTGACTGAGATATGATAAAATATGATCTCATAATCTCGCATGACTATTATATCTCAGTCAGCAAGTTAACGTCCACCTCAAACGACCATAAATTTTTTAACAGAAAATGACGAGTTTGGAACATAATGAATAGTAGGGTGACCATTTTATAACTTTTAATAGTTGAAAGATTCAACAAAGTAATACGATATAGTCGGAGACCATTTGTGTATTTATCCTAAAAAATATGATTTAAGACTAAAATCTTACTTCAAACGAAGCAGAGAAACTCAAAATCAATAAAAAAAATCATTTTTATCACATTATTTTCGTTTTTGTTTACTAGATATTATTTTCTAAAAATAAAACATGGAAATAAAAATCCTTTCTAATTTTCTCACCTTCAAAGTTTGACTCTATCCAATGAACCCAAAATGCCCCCATAATACGTACCAAAAGTCTCTATTTCTTGTTGATACGTTGATAATGATATCTGAAATAGACCCTGCATGAGGTGATTAATAGTCAATGCCCTTATCCTTGTCAAATCAAATGCAGGTCGGTGTTGAGAGATTATAAAATTTTAGGATTAAAGTTAAAAAAAAACTATGTTTAAAGAAATTATTAAATTTTGAAGGTGCTAAAAAACACAACTTTTCATTTAAGGATTTTTTTTATTAGTTTGAGCTGAATAAAATATATTATCTATTTAAAAGATTTTTAATTATTTGACAATGATTTTTTATATTTTTTTATAGGTGTCGTATTTTAATTCAGAATCTCAAAAAATAACAATAATAACTTAATTACTGACGATTCTTATAGTTAAAAAACCATAAATTAACGATTGTATTATATATAGCCTTTATATATGCCACTAATCTTATTTTGGTTATCTATTAAAATTATTTAATTAACCTAAAATAGTTATATATATATTAGTTTAAGCATATTAAAATATTACTATTTTCATAATTAAATAAATAATAAAAAAAATATTGATCTATCGAATTTATTTTTAGAAAAAAATCTATTGAGAAAAAATCTTAATATTTGACAAAATCTTAATGAAGACTTTTTTTTTCATGCATTATGAGTAGACAGAGGATCTAACTTTTAAAAAAAATTCAACTTTTCATGTTAACATTATATCTCTCCATTATAATATTATATCAATTTATATTAATGTCACATATTTTAAAATTAACATTATATTTCTTCTTGTGTCAACGTCATCATGTATCTCCTTAGTTAATCAATGGATTTAAGGTAAAATATATATTTAGTCATTCAATTATCACTTTAATTATATTTTGGCCACTCAACTATTATTTTTAAACTAACACTAGCGTTGCATTTTGGTCATATGCCGTTAAAAAAAAACAAAAATGCTGATGTGATATATTTTTAACTTTTTAATGAGGATATGGTAGTACCTTATGGTGACACATCAACAACATCATTAATTTTTAAACGGTGGATGACTAAAACGAAACTAAAATGTAATGTTATTGATGATTTTAAAGAAAAAAATAGTTTGACAACCAAAACAGAATAAAGTGATATTTGAGTAGCAAAATACTTAATTTACTCTAAAATTATTCACTTAAAAATAAATACTACTCCCTCCGACTTGTAATTTGTATCTCATATTAATTACGCATATAGTTCTAGAGGCGTGTTTGGTTCGACGTATGTGGGATTACCAGAGAATAGAATCCTCATTATCCCGTTTGGTTGACCAATAATCCTATTCCCGGTAATCTTTTATTCCCAACAGTGGATTTTTTGGGCATATTACCGGGAATGTGATTACCCCTTTCCTTAGGTATTGTTGGATTACCGGCGTTTTGGACTAAATTGCCCTTAATTTTTTTTTCTTTTAAAAATATATTTCTTTTGTCGTTGAATAATAAAAATTATACGAATGTTAAATTACAAATCTATCCTTAAATTATTTTAGATTTACAAAAAAAAATTAAAATTAAAATTTTATATGAAATTTAGGGATTAAAATAAAATTTTACTCTTCCATTAAACCTATTTATCTTTTCAATTTTGTAAAAAAATATAAATTTTATGGATTTAAAAATTTTAAAGAAAATATATAAATTATTTATAGTAATATTATAGTAGAATTCAAATTGTCAAAGAAACAAATATATAATACGGATAATTTGGTAAAATATACATTCCAATAATCTTTTATTCTTTTAATAAAACATTGTAATCTTACATTCTTGCTAAACCAACCAAACACACAATACAACATTTCCAGTAATCCTATTCCTCGGTAATATTTTTATTCCCATCAATAATCTTACATTCCGCGAACCAAACGCATCATATGAGATATAATTTGACCAAGGAAAATGACAAATTACACCTAGAAAATGATTGATAGATTTGATATATTTATTTTGATAAGTATAAAAGAGTGAAACATAAAAGAGTAAAAAATGAAATATAAATGTTGTTATTTTTTTATTTTTCTAATATGAATCTTGAATGTGAAAATTTTAAAAATCAAAATAAATACAATTAGTGATAGAAAGTAATATTATATTTATACGTAAAATATAAATATAAAAGGCTAACATCACATGAACTACCGGATATAAAATTATCTAACACTTTTGAGATGAACTATAAGTATTGTTAAACAAATAACTTTTTTTTTTTGGGATAATTAAACAAATACCTTTTGGAAATATCTTTGAAAGAGTTTTCAAATCAAACGCACAATTAAAAAATTATAATTTTTGAGCTTGAAAAATGTTTTTTTTTTGGAATAAAAAATCTATAGGTAATTGTGATGTGTTAATTTTATAGTTTATAAATTTATGTTTAATTTATCAAGACAATTATATGATTAATAAATTATCTACGAGTTTGAAATTTTTAACATCATCATGTCATTTTTTAAATAAAAATTATTTAAATATTATATACTTTTATAAAATACATATAATCATTAAAATTTTATTATTTTTCAATAAAAAATATTTTTATATTTTTATCATAATTTAAATTAAATAATTTAAATATAATCTAAATATATATTTTCTAATTCATAACTTCACGTGTAAAATGATTATATATATATTTTTAAAATATTTATTTATTTTAAATGATTATTTAAATATGTACTTTTATATCTTTTTGATACGATTTCAATGATTTAAGGAAGTGTTGTTTTCCTTAGTAATCTTGTGTTTAAGTAGCTTTTTTTGCGAGAATGTATATGTTATCATTCGTTAAAAAAGATTTTAAACAAATACTATATTTTTCGATAAAAGGTATGATTTTGTTACCAAAAGAATTATACATAAAAAAACTAACACATACCTCTTTAAAAATCTCTTTAATTTATTTGGAAGAAAAGAGTAACTGAACTAATAATACAAAGCAAACAAATAAACCAGAAAATAACACTAAACTAGCAGCCACTGGTTAACCGCCATTTCAAGCAAAACAGAGACCAATTACGCTCCCCAAAGCTATGACACTCCTAAACTCTAAATCCTAAACCTTTTAATCATTCTAAAATATTAAAAAGAAATTAAATAAAATAATCCAATAACATTTTTTAACCGCACCTTCTAAATCATTTATCGGTAATTTGAAAATGGAATTGGACGATGAATTATTCTAAATTGAATTCCAATTAAATGTGATAATTGAAAATCTCAAAGTCATTTTGTGTAGAAAAGGACTGGATCAAGTCGCCCCGCCATTCCTGAAAAACTCGGTAATTCATAAAGTATTTATCCCCAAGTCAATCTCCTTTGATTAGTGCTTTTAGACTTTTGTTCTTTTGTTCATGCAAACCTCTTGCATGCATGCTTTTTCTCTTTTTGCTACGAAGTAAACGCTTCTCCAACCGCGTTTAGCCGCAAAGTTTGAAGTTTTAGGCACTTTATGCTCCCTATATAAACGCACTTTTCAATCCAGGGATTATTCACACCTTTCAATTTGGCTGCTTCTACTGGCTTTTCTCTCTAATGGCCTCCATAGTCTCCATTGTCACGCTATCTAATATTCTTCTCATTCTGCTTCTTTCCAGCGCTGCTGCCAATGCTCAGCTTTCGGCCAACTTCTATGCAACCTCTTGTCCTAACCTTCAAACCATTGTCCGCAACTCGATGGCCCAGGCCGTTAATAGAGAGAGGCGAATCGGCGCCTCGATTCTCCGTTTGTTTTTCCACGACTGCTTCGTTAATGTAACGTGCTTTGTCTATTGAGTTTCGAGACATGGACTTATACATGTATACATTGTTAACTGTTCTATTATGTACATGCTATGTTAATGCAGGGTTGTGATGCATCGATACTGCTGGATGATACGGCGACATTCACGGGCGAAAAGAATGCAGCACCAAACCGAAACTCTGCTCGGGGTTTCGAAGTGATCGATACCATAAAGTCTAATGTGGAGACTGCTTGCAATGCCACTGTTTCTTGTGCAGATATACTAGCACTTGCTACTAGAGATGGTGTAGTACTGGTTAGTGTACATAAAGTCTTCCCTTGCGGTTTATAATGCATCAGATATAAACTAAATTACAAACTATTTATTATATTGTATCATGGCAGCTTGGAGGACCATCATGGCAAGTACCACTGGGGCGTAGAGATGCAAGGACAGCAAGCCAAAGCGCAGCCAACAGCCAAATCCCGTCACCATTCGCCAACCTCGCCACTCTAATCTCTTCCTTCGCCGCCAAGGGTCTAAACGCACGAGACTTAACTGTCCTATCCGGTGGACACACGATTGGCCTAGCTAGATGCGCCACGTTCCGCAATCGCATCTACAACGACACCAACATCGACCCGAATTTCGCAGCCACCAGACGTGCTAGATGCCCTGCTTCTGGTGGTGACAACAATTTGGCTCCTCTGGATTCAGTACCCTCAGCCAGGTTCGACAACAACTACTACCGTGACCTGGTGGCTCAAAGAGGGCTGCTTCACTCGGACCAGGAGCTGTTCAACGGCGGATCGCAGGACGCGCTTGTTCGAACCTACAGCAACGACCTAGCTACTTTCTTGGCTGATTTTGCAGCTGCAATGGTGAGGATGGGAAACATTAGTCCCCTTACAGGAACAAGTGGGGAGATCAGAAGGAACTGCAGGGTGGTTAACTGATCTTAAATATCCCATTAATGGTGATTTCAATAAGTTTCTCGGAAGGAGTTGAATTTTATATTATCGTTGCCTAAGATGGAAAAAGAGTTTAGCCTTTGGATTTCTTTTTAATAAAATCTATAATGAAATCTTACAGTTTTAGAATTACTTCATATATATTTTATTGTGTAATCTCTTTTTTTTACCAAATATTTCTTTTCATGAAATTACAAAGTATTATGGCTTAATATCTCTTTTGCCCCCAAGCTTTAGTGAAATTCTCATTTTAACTCCTCCACTCCAGTTCTGTTAACACGTTAAGTCATCAACTCCTCGCTTTTCTCGATGAGGAACTATGATGTGTCCAGTAACCAAAATAAAAATAAAAATGATGTGTCCCAACGTGTAACAAATACTGAAAAAAAAACGTAAATAGCAAAATAGAAAATATATATTTATATGGAAATGATTTAATTACACAATATATTCATAATTACAGCTGGATAAGTGGAACTAAAAATTGAGATTAATAGTAAAAATGTAAAGATATTTACTAAAAAAATAAATATTTTAAAAAAATTATAACTTTAGAAAATGCATTCTAAATTATTTTAGAATTTTATAAAAATTCATTTTTAATATTTTTTTAAATTGATGATATTTTTTTTAAAATGTGTTTATTTGGCAATTCATTTAAGCGTCATTTTTAACAAAATGGGATAAAGTATAAGACAGAATAAAGTAAGAAGCAAAAGAAAAAGAACAAAAAATAGCTAAAATATAGGACACAATAAAATAAGAAGCAAATAATATAAAATCATTTTGAAAATTATAAAATATCATAACTTGTACAAATTATTTAAAAATTATAAAAAATATTTTTAAAATGTACAAGAATTATTTAAAATTTAAATATTATAGAATTGTAAAAAATATTTTTAAAATTATAAAAAATATAAAATTGTAAAAAAACATAAAAAATTATAAAAATATACAATATATACATACACTCACAGGTATACGTGAATTCCCTAAAGCTGCTCTCATTCTACAGAATTTCTCTGCTTTTCAATACTTACTCTCTCTAGATTTCTGTGTTTCTCATTCTCTATCTAGATTTTGAGTGATTTATCTCCATCTTGTAAGTTTTAATACTCTCTCTTTTCTTTTTTGGTGTGATTTGTCAGAAGATCAAATATGATTGATGATTGTGTTTCTTTGAAATTTTGGTCTTTCTTTTTATTGATTTAGGCCATTATATGATCGGGGTATTTCTTGTTTTTCACAGATCTGCTATATAATGTGAGAAAATATGATGTTAGGATTGCTCTCTTAGCTGTTACTTACGGCTATATTTATTTTCTTATTAATTGGATCTGGGTCTCTTTCTCTTGTTAGACGGATGAAATGGGGATTATAAGATATAACTTCTATTTGCATTGGATCTAGCAATTAAAGGTGGATCTTGCTGATGAAGTCATGAACTTATGGATCAGTTTATTCGTTGCTTGCTGAACTTTGATTGCAAACATTAACTCGAGAAAGAAAAGGAAGTGACTGCTTTAGCTAGTTTATTGTTCAATTTTTATGGAGGAAAGGATTATTGAACTTTAATTTATTGAACTTAAGCAAATGAAATGATACAAAAAGGATGAGATAATGTGATTTGATTACGTTGGATGGCATGATCCACTTATGTTCACTGAAGATCTGTTTTTAATTTGCTTTTTCCTTCTACCTATTTTACTTCTATAGAGTGAGGTTTAATGGAATCTTTTGTTAACAGAAAATTATATGTTAACTCAGTCTGTTAGTGTTCTCTTGTGGGTTTTCTTCTTTTTATTTTGGATTCTTACTTTATTATAGGTTTGACCATAGATTCTATGTTTACATTTTTTGTTTTTGTTTATACAATTTGGTGCAGGTTTTTATTAGCTTTTGACTAACTTCTGAAAATAGGGTTTTTTTTGTAGAATTGGTCTTGTCATGGCTACTTATACGCCAAAGAACATCCTCATAACCGGGGCTGCTGGGTTTATTGCATCGCATGTCGCTAATCGACTTGTTCGCAACTACCCTGACTACAAGATTGTTGTACTTGACAAGCTTGATTACTGCTCGAACCTGAAAAACCTCCTTCCATCTAAGTCATCGCCGAACTTCAAGTTTGTGAAGGGGGATATTGCTAGTGCTGACCTTGTTAACTACCTCCTCATCACCGAGTCTATTGACACAATAATGCACTTTGCAGTCCAAACTCATGTGGACAATTCATTTGGGAATAACTTTGAGTTTACCAAGAACAATATCTATGGCACTCATGTCCTGCTTGAAGCTTGCAAAGTCACTGGCCAGATTAGGAGGTTCATCCATGTAAGCACGGATGAGGTTTACAGGGAGACAGATGAGGATGCTATTGTAGGAAACCACGAGGCTTCCCAACTTCTCCCGACAAACCCGTACTCTGCCACAAAAGCCGGTGCTGAAATGCTTGTTATGGCATGTGGTAGATCATATGGATTACCTGTGATTACAACCCGCGGAAACAATGTGTATGGCCCCAATCAATTTCCGGAAAAATTGATTCCAAAGTTTATCCTCTTAGAAATGGGAGGGAAGGTTCTTCCAATTCACAGGGATGGTACTAACGTGAGGAGTTATTTGTACTGTGAGGATGTGGCTGAGGCATTTGAAGTCATTCTTCACAAGGGTGAAGTTGGCCATGTTTATAATGTTGGAACAAAGAAGGAAAGGAGAGTGATTGATGTAGCCAAAGATATATGCAAACTTTTCTCAATGGATCCTGAGACAAGCATCAAGTTCGTTGAAAACAGACCATTCAATGACCAGAGGTATTTTCTTGATGATCAGAAACTAAAGAACTTGGGATGGTCTGAGTAAACTGTATGGGAAGATGGGTTGAAGAAGACAATAGAATGGTACACCCAAAATCCTGATTGGTGGGGTGATGTGTCCGGCGCACTGCTTCCACACCCAAGAATGTTGATGATGCCTGGTGGTAGACACTTTAATTCTGAAGAGGGAAAAGGTACATCATATATAAGTGCTCCTAATCAGACCCGAATGGTAGTTCCCACCTCCAAAAGTAGTTCCTCGCAGCAAAAACCAGCCTTGAAGTTCTTGATTTATGGCAAGACTGGCTGGATCGGAGGTCTGCTTGGTCAGTTATGTGATAAGGAAGGTATTCCATTTGAATATGGAAGAGGACGGTTGGAAGAAAGTTCGTCACTTATGGAAGATATTCAGAGAATAAAACCTACCCATGTTTTTAATGCTGCGGGTGTCACCGGTAGACCCAATGTTGATTGGTGTGAATCTCACAAATCGGAAACAATCCGCACCAATGTGGCTGGAACCTTGACCTTGGCTGATGTTTGCCGAGAGCATGGGCTTTTGATGATGAATTTTGCTACCGGGTGTATATTCGAGTATGATGTGGAACATCCTTAGGGCTCTGGCATCGGGTTTAAAGAGGAAGACAAACCCAATTTCACTGGTTCCTTCTATTCGAAAACCAAGGCTATGGTTACTTCATTGGATATCTTTAATCTGATCCATTTTGTCGGCTAGTTTGTCTTTAAGTGCTCATAAATTGTTTCCATATTTTTTTTAGTTTGAAGAGCTGCTGAAAGAATATGAAAATGTCTGCACCCTCAGAGTTAGGATGCCAATCTCATCCGACCTAAACAACCCTCGCAACTTCATCACCAAGATTTCACGATACAGCAAGGTGGTGAATATTCCCAACAGCATGACAATTTTGGATGAACTTCTACCGATTTCGATTGAGATGGCAAAGAGGAACTTGAGGGGAATTTGGAACTTAACGAACCCCGGGGTTGTGAGCCACAATGAGATCCTGGAGATGTACAAGAAGTACATTGATCCAAAGTTTCAGTGGGTGAACTTCACATTGGAAGAACAAGCCAAGGTGATCGTTGCCCCTCGAAGCAATAATGAGATGGATGCATCCAAATTGAAGAAAGAGTTCCCCGAGTTGCTACCGATCAAGGAATCACTGATTAAGTATGTCTTTGAGCCGAACAAAAGAACCTGACCCTTTGAACAGGTTTTCAGATATAGTACCCCATGATTAACCTTTGCATGTCTGTTAGTTTGATTCATTTGTTACTGTTATTGGCCCATGCATTAATTTTACTCGAAAACTATAGGGATTTTGCATCTTTGATCCTTACTAGCTGCACCGGAGTTGTATCTTAGTTTTCTTAGCATACCTTTAGTAGAGGAACTGTCATCAGTTAGTTTACAATGTGTCATCTGCAGGCTGTCAGGTGCATTATTTTTTACATTACAATTAATTGAATATATGGCTTTAAACACTCGTGTATTTGTCTTTAATGGAAAAAACTGCATTTATCTTTCACTTATTTGAGTGAATGATTAATGGGTTTGAGTCTTTTAAATGTCTTTATATGTATGTGGCCTTTAATACTCATGTACTGGTCTTAGGGATGTAAATGAGACTAGATAAATCGCGAGCTACTCGAGATCGACTCGGTCAAAATTCGACCAACTCTCGAATCGAATAGACTCGACTCAGCAGCTTGCGAACAACTTGAAAAAGTAATATATTAAAATTTTTGATTTTTTTAAAATTACATTATTATTAATATACATTTATATGTTGTTTTTTTTTAAATTACAATATAAGATTTTCATGTGTTTAAGGTTTTGATTCAAGCTCGAGTTTGAGCTTCAATTGAACTAAATCTAAGATTATTTCGAGTTCAAGTTTTTTGGAGCTCGAGTTTGAGCTTCAATTTTTTATTTTGAGCTCAAGTTAAGTTTCATAATTTTAAGTTTGTGAGTTTTCAAGTCGAGTTTAGTTTTACACTTTTCGAGTTGAGTTCAACACTACTTGAACTCAATTCGACTCGTTTACATCCCTAACTGGTCTTTAATGGAAAAAGAAATTGTATTTATCATTTACACACATTAGTGAATGATTTATGGGATTTAATCTTTAAAATAACTGGTGAAGAATACTTTTTTTAATAATCTGAGTGATTATAAGATAATATATATTTAGAATTTTTTTAGTCATTGATAACATACACACATTATAATGTACCTGTTTGAACCAGAAATTTCTAAGGAAAACAACTCTCTTCTATCATTGAGTTGGCTTAAAAGTTGAATTTTCTCTCTAAATTCTCTCTATATTAATGTTTAGGGTCAGCTATTCATTGTTGTGTAAACTAACTTG